ATAAGGAGAAGAATATGGAGAAGTCTTGAATGTTTTTGGTAGTCCTGTCGGAGGCACCCAGGGTCTTGCACATGCTGAGTATGTGCTCTACCCCCCAGCCAATCCCTCCTCAGACTTAAACCATTCTGTTAAACCAAGGAATGAACTATCGCTTATTTAGAACATCGCTTGGTATATTATGAAGCTGTTTTTCTCCTGTAGAGTGTGTGACACCTGGAGGGCTATTTTTGAGGAGCATGGTCATTGCCAGCCTTTATGGGATTCTGGATTTCTTCTAGATTCTGGTGAAAGCCATGGCCCATAGTCTCAGAGAGGTGCACGCACAGCATTGGGCATCTGTTCTGGGGGAGCTCAGATTCCCCGAGGCTCATGGTGATTGTGGCTTCTAGATTAAAGCCTCTGTATAAGAGAGCAAAATGTAAGTTAGGAGGGGAAATGGATTTGAGACGGACATTTTACTTCCTGGTAGTTCATTTAGGAGCACGAACACGGCCGTGGGGCGCCCTCTGCTTCCCCACACGCAGGCTCCAGCCTTGCTTCACCCGGGGAGGACATTGGAGCCCCTTTACTTTACTTCCAGCTGTCAACAGAGCCAGGCAATTTCTTAGTATTTTTCTGATTCCAGTTGCTTCCCCCCACCCCCACTATGGTGGCCTCCAGTGGATAAGAGAGAAGAGCAATATTTAGGTTTATTTTTTATTATTAAAGTGAATTTCACAAATATTTATTACATGCGTATGAGAGAATAGGGTGGAGAAAACACAGCTTTGAATACTTGAGGCAACTAAAAGGACACGGTGGCTGTGACGGTATCTGTCACCCTCACAGTAGATTGTTGCYAAGGGCCTGTCCTGGAAGGCACCTTCACAGGCTCAAGGAGAAGGAGTGGGCAGAGTGCACCCATCTGTGGCCTGTCTGCGGAGCACTATGGCCTGTCTGCTCAGTGCCTGGGCTTCCCTGCAGGTGTCCTTGGCCTTCAGACTGAAACGACTTCCTCCTGGCCAGTCGCTCTCTCCTCCTGCTCTGTACAGGGCTCTGCTGAGGCACAGCGGTGCCCTCCTGAGCCACCTGGGGGCCTCCAGGTCTGCCACTGCCTCCCTGAGAGCAGGATGGGCACCTGTGGCAGGTTAGGGCATGGTGCCAACTTGTGTCTGAATGGTGAGTGCCTGTCCCCTCCCCTAGAGGAGTCGAAGTCTGGCCTCTCTCTGAGTGAGTGCTCAGTGCTTGGTAAGAAGGGAGGGAACTGAGGTCAAGGCTACTCTGCCTGCTTGTGCTATCCTCTCCACCCTTCGTGTCCCCAACTCACTGCTGCCTGGCTGACTCAGCTGAGGTTCCAATCTGTAAAATTCAGCTCAGCCAACACACACATTGGGAATCGAACTCAGGGGAATTCGATCACTGAGCCACATCCCCAGCCCTATTTTGTATTTTATTTACAGACAGGGTCTCACTGAGTTGCTTAATGCCTTGCTTTGAACTCGTGATCCTCCTGTCTCAGCCTCTCGAGCTGCTGGGATTACAGGCCTGCGCCACTGCACCCGGCTTAGCCAACATTTTGCAGAGACATTTCCTGCACTGCTCCCATAGGCTTGGGTTTGACTTCCAGCTGCATTAACCTCTGACTCTTCATCTTGGGTGTGTCACTTGGTCTCCCAGAGTCCTAATGTCCCACACCAAGGAACAGGTTGCACCCTGCCAACCTTGCAGGGCTGAAGGGATAGTCTCTGTGGAAGGAAGAACGTTGGGCTCAGCATCTGGATGTAGGAGCCCCTGAGTGAAAGTTCAGTGTGCCCCCATCATTTCTTCCGGTTGAGGCTGGGTGTACAGATGATTTCAAAGGACCCGTGCAAGAGCTACCACGCTGGTGTGGGGGGCTGTGGGGAAGCAGGGTCCGCTCTACAGGGGCTGCTTGAGCAGGGTGCTGGGAGGCGGCGCAGGCCACACCCAAGTCAGCTAGGCTCTGAGGATGACTTCCACACCTGCCTTTCCAAGAGACCACTTGCTGGTTTCAAAGTGTTCCAGGCATTTTCTAAGTCCTCTGGCCTTTGCTCTGAATGACCTCAGTTGGGTGTTGTCACCTTGGTTGGAAGGGCTGAGCTGCCACCATGGGTGTCTTTGGTGAAGCTAAGGGGTCTTGCTATAAAATGCAGTTTGCCAGGCTGATCAAACTTTCCAGGAGAGGTGTGGTATCTGGCGCCCCTGGGAGAAAAGAAAGTCCCCTCTCTCTGCAGGTCAGGACTGTGTGGGCGAGGCCAGTGGTGACGTGGGGTAGAGACGTCCAGGCAGGTTGCTGCCCCTGCGTCTGTGGCAGCGCTCTGGCTCCCTGTCTTCCTAGGAGCCCAGCACACAGCAGGTGCTCAGGCAGTGCTTGCCACAGGACCCAGCTTACTCATACCTGGTTTGTGCTGGGCAGGTGGAGACACTGGAGTCTACTTGTCTCCTCGAGTGTCACTGACCACCCACTGGTACTCTGGCTCCAACAGTCTGCACTTCCTGTCCGAGTGGCAGAGCTTTTGCTTCCAGAAGCTGTTCGTGGGTCCTGTTCCTTGGAAGTACAGGGGACAGTGTGGCTGTTGGGAATTTACTAAATGGCCACTGAAGCAGGATCTGAGGTTGCTCAAGGCCAGAGTCCGGGCATGGGCTGTGCTGGCTTCTCCACAACAGTGGGGAGGATCCGCACCCTGTCCTTGGCTTCCGTCCTTCTTCAGGCCTTAGCGCATAYGTCTGCCCTGCTTGGGCCCAGTCCTCGTGCCCACATCTCCCCTGTACCTCCACCATGAAGCAAGTGCAGCGGTTGCCATGTAGCCAATCTGCCTCTGGCTGCAACGTGTGAACTCAAGGAGATGGGCATCCTGAAAGGTCCCCTGGGAGTACCAGGCCCTGAGGACCAGGGTTGGCTTTGGGTTTAACAGCTGGGACCCAGAGTTTCCCAGGGTGAGGCTGGCGTGGAGAGACAGGGCAGACCCTACTTGGACTTCAAGACATCCAGATGGTGAAGGGTGGCAGTGAGAAGGAGGCCAGGGTGGTGGCCTCTGAGGGCAGCTAGTAAACTGGGGCTGCTGACTACCTGGTCCTCAAGTTCTCTTTTGGGGGATGAGAGCTAAAAAATGGGCTTGACAATAAGAGAAGAAAGAGGGTTCTGTATTGCCCCTGTCCTGCTCTGCCCTGGGGTCACTGGGCATGATGTGGCCACAGTGGCAGTGAGAGCCATGGAACATGAGAGGATGTGGGGGGCAGCCTAGTGGGCATGTGGGAGGCTTCTTTCTGGAAACCAAGGCTTATCAGGGACGGTGGCCAGCCAGGGGTGGTGCAGTCCCCAG